AGAATGTGGGCAAGCAAAAGAAAATTCTTGACAAGAAATGACAAAAAAATATAGCAATCTAAATCAGGAAGAAACTAAGAAAAGCAGAAGTAGTTGCAAAATTCTCTGTGTGATGGTCTCTCAAGAGATTATTCCAAATTTATTCCCTCATTTAGAAATTCCAAAATAAGTCTGTTTTTATGCATAAAGAATAGTATGTTTCAAGTTCCAACGCTTCAAAAATCAAATTATTTTGTGATACCAAAATCAATATAATTTCCCACCTCACTGAAAAAAATCTTATTTCCACTTTTCTTATAAATTGTTATGGATACCAGTCTTAAATTCTTCCCAGTAATTGTGTGGGCATTAGTAAAAAAGTAGTAAAATGTTTGTTACTATCATATGTACAGTTGGTCCTCTGTATCTGCAGGTTCCACATCCACAGATTTAACTAACTGTGGATTGAAAATATTTTAAAAAATAATAAAAAAATAGCAATACAACAAAAAAATTTAAAATACAGCATAACAACTATTTATACATCATTTAAACTGCATTAGGTATTATAAATAATCTAGAGGTGATTTAAAGTATATGTAAGGATGTGTATAAGTTATATGCAAATACTGCATCATATTATATAAGGGACTTGGAGCATCTGCAGATTTGGGTATCTGTGGGGATCCTGGAACCAAAACCCTGAAGATACCTAGGAGTGACCATATACTTAAAATCATTAAAATATAAAATAGAAGGTTTTATAAACATTGTGGATCAAAAACCATTTGGTAAATTGTCACCACTGTAGGCAAAGGAATAAGCATAGCACAAAGTCATTTTTCCTCATAGGTTTCTCCAGGGCTTTCAGCTACATAGTCATTTTAAAGCATTATTATAATTCATTCCGTCCTTCATTTTATAAATAAAGGAAAAGATTTGTGATTGGGAGACCAAAGAACACATAGACTCACACACACATGCACACACCCCATACACTCATACACATATTTTCAGACAGCCATACACACACACACATCCGTCACAAAGACACACAAACCATGTCAAACAAAACTCACACACACATACACATTTCTAACTCTTTCCAGACTGGTGAAGGGACAATCCACTGAACCATAAACATATGTGCTTGATATGAATATCATAAAATCTAGTTGAGTTTAATTAAAACCTATTTTCAAATTTAAATAATTCAAAATTAGACCTTAATATTTATATTCCTAAGAGAATACATACATACTATATATTATATGGTACTATGTAAATAATACTATATATTTTAGGAATATTATATATTATAACTATAAAGATGTAATATATGTTATAAAAATTGATTTTACATGAGACTTCTAATTTCTGATATTTAATAATTTTAATAATCTAGTAATTTAAATTTTAATACATCTAACAATCAAGATTTGTACATTGTTGGCAGAATGACAATAAAAACTGGTTAAGCAGTATTGTAGAATATCTATATACTCAAAGAGAAAATCATTTTATATTTTTCCTGATTTTGCTCTATCAAAAATAATATGGGCAGGTATTATAGGCAAGTACAAGAAAAATATTTACTAAAGATACTTGATACTATAATTGCTACAGTGTATTTTTAAAGTTGATATCCTTGGATCAAAATCAAGGAATGTTTGGTCTATTCTCACATAAGATATTCAGTTTATGGAAGATAATGCAACTGAATTTTTCAGGGCTGTCTGATCAGAGACTACATACACTACACACATAGGATATACTTTTCTTTCTAATCTCACAAACTTTAATCAAGTTCTGGAATTAATGCCACTGATATCTTAGATCATGCTTCCATTCACCCTGAAGCGAATACTGGGAATATGTTTAAAAAATAGATCCAAGGTACAGACTTAATATACGCTTTTTGAGATAAGAACTTTGAGAAATGAATTGCAATTTTAATTCAAATATAAACTCTAAGATCAGCATTTCACAGCTATCTGGTGAGGCACATGCAAAGCTGCCTAGTAAAATGGCTCTGACCTCAACAGAGCCTATAATGGGATTTTCAGGAGGACAAGTGTCCTCCTTATGCACTTGATAAAACCTTCACTCCCCTCTCACATCCCCAAATCCCAACATCCTCAGCCTCATGATTATAAACTGCTGAAGCAGTACCCTCGATGAACCTATCATTAGAAAAGATTGCCTGTATTCTCCAAGCGACCTTCAGAACCATTCTCAGTCTCCCTTACTGCTTACCTCAAACTCCAAACACCCATAATTGTTCATCCTTCTTTGAACCACCTCTCAAACTCTTCACTGTGCCCTAAGAAACCAAAGACCTTCCCTCTACTAAATTGATATTCTCACTCTGTTCTGTACATGGTCCTCCAATCTTCTTGTTCTAGCATCCTCTTTTCCTAAGGAAATAGCTGTTTCAGCAACTGTCTCAAAGGTTTAGCTATTCTTTTCTTCCACCCTTCACATACTTTAGGACTTTAGGTAAAGTCAATTTCTTTCCTGATCCTCATTACACTTCCCAACCATTTCTCATCTAGCTGAAAAAAGAAAATGGTCTTTTATTTTTTTCACAGCAAATAATCTTTTCATTTTCACATTCTCCCAGATAATGATTAATTTTCTCTTCTCTTTGCTCCTCAAAACTCCAATACTTCCCGTTCCAATTCATCCTCAAGTGAAGACCTCACATCTAACTTCGTTGAAAAAAATGAAAAAAATCCCATCACCTACTCTACCGATCCACCTGCATCTGATCCCATGCCTCTGCCTTCTTCCTGGGACAACAGAGGAGCTGTCCTTGCTCCTATCTAAGGCATTGCTCTTTCTTGATTAAAATATGAGTAACATATTCCGCACTCCTCTGATTTCCATCCTAGCTGTTCATTTTTATTTCCTTTGCTAGATACTCCTCATCTTGCCCTACAAATGTTGGAAATCCCCAGGGCTCAGTTCTTGGGTATTTTTTCTCCAATATTATATTCACTCCCTAGATAACCATATCTAAGTCTCTGACTATAAATAAAACCTATACCTGTGCTGTCCAATATGGTGGCCACTCACCTAATGTATTAATAGCCATTGAGCATTTGAAATGTGGCTAGTTCAATTTGAGGGGTGTTGTAAGTAAAATAAATGCCAGATTTTAAAGACTTACTATAAAAAATGTAAAATATCTCAATAATTTTTATATTGACTATTGAAATAACATTTTGGATATATTAGGTCAAATAAATGTATTATTGAAATTAATTTACCTGTTTCTTTATACTTTTTAAAAGTGGCTACTGAAAAATTTTCAATTATGACATTTGTGGCTCATACTGTGTTTCGATTGGACAATACTGACCTAGCTATACATTAATAGCTCCAACCTTTCCCATGAGTCCACACTTACATAACTACCTATTTGACATTTCAATTTGGATGTCTAACAGTCTCCTCAAACTTATTGTGTCCAAATCCCAACTCTTGGCTTCTGCCCATTCGAAACTGCATCTCTCCCTTTCCCCCATCTCAGAAGGTAGCAATTATCATTTTCCAGTTCATCAGGACTAAAGCTTAAGAGTCATCTTTGATTCTCTTTTTCTCATACCCCACACCAATATGTAATCTCCAAGAAAGAAATATAAATTTTTTTCAAACTTTTCAGATCAAAGCACCCTTCATTAGTCAAGGTGACTGAATCACTCAGGGCTAGTGTTCTGAAGAGCACACTTTAAGAAATGCTGATGTAACACCCTCCTCCACACTTCATGCTTCCCTGTTCCCCTAGTTTGGGACCTTCCATCACTTCCCCGGAAAGCCTCCTCACTTATCTCTCCAACAGAATTATCTCTGCAGTCTCTCCTGACAGTTTTATTTTCTTGACAGAATGATCTGGTCATACCTTACCTCTTCCCTATCAACAGCTTTAAAATCACCACTGGCTTTTCATTATACATATGTTCAAAGCCTAGACCTATGATTACATTCTCTTCAAAATCTAGCCCCATCCATCTTCCCAACTTCATTTCCTACCACATCTCTCCTTTCCATATCATGCTCTTTCATTCTTCAGAGCTTTAATACATTTTTCTCCCACTGCTCAAAATGGCCTCTCCTGTTTCTACCCTACATCTAAACAAACTTCTCCTTAACACCCATTTCTAACGCCATCTCTTCTGAAATATTTTCATTCTGACACTTTGGTTGGTCACTCCCCCATGTTTCCATAATGCTTTGCACTTACCTCTGTTATAGCAATTGTCACATTGTATGATAAGAAATTACCCTGCGTTTATCCCTACCATTACTCTCTGAGTCTTTTAAATTATTTTTCTCCATCTCTTAATATAGTGTCTGGCACAAAGCAGGTGCTCCTCGTTGAATTGAAACAATACCAATGAGTGAATAAACAAATAAACATCTTTAGAAATAACAAGAGGCAAAAATTAAGATGAATCCATGAAAGCTATACTAGAAATGTGTTTTAAGAAGTCATTTATTCAATCCATTAGTCTCAAGAAAAAAATATCTCTTTGCTTAAATAGACCTCTAGTTTCCACCTTACCAAGTTTCTGATAGAGAATAAACCTTGACTATAATTTGTTTGCAGGGGAAATTCTATAGCTGCCAAAAATCTTTTTAGAGTTTTAGGGAAACACATTCACAAATAGGTTACCTACCCTACCTACCCTGATAAACAACAGAATAAACCCATCACTCCTTTAGTAACTATGAAATAAACAGTCTCTGAGGATTTGTACTCCAAAGAATATCACTGCTGGAAGACATAACTAATCAGTTTTATTCCTCTAAATTTCTCTTTCCCATTAGAATGTTCTCTTCTCAGTTCCTACTGGGCCCCAGAATTAGTGACTCTATTAATCGTGCTTCCTTACCTTTCATTGTAAAATGAAATTTAAAGTTCAGAGTATTGTCAGAGCAAGAAAATTCCATTATAAGCATATAAGAAGCAAACAGTTTTGCCTGTTGGTTGCTGGATTTCTTCACCCAAAACTTACCTTTTATAATTTGCTCTACAGGTTCATATTTTTCTTTTGTACTAAAAAGGGGTGGCTCCTTGAAACAAGTTCGCCGTGAGGGCTCCTCAAAACGGCCACCTTTAGAAAGCTCCTTGGGGAAACAAATACTTTTGAGTGCTGCCCGATGTTCTTGGACCACATCAAGTGTTTCCTTTTTTTTAATTCCCAAAGGTATGTACTTGGCCAATTTTGGTTTTTGGTGTTTATTTTTAAAAACATTTATAGAAGGACCTGGAATTTTATTCTATGAATAAAACAAAAATAAATTTTAAGAAAATTTAAGTTTAGCATTCATTATTTAAGTTATATAATAAATTTTATTAATAAGTTAATAGAATTATATCTCTACTGAATACACTTTACAAAGTACCTTACTGTATACATTTACTCTAAAGCACATGATAGTAGTCATATAAATCAGGTGTTATTCTATGTAGTTTTCCAAAAGCCCTCTTCGCAAGCATGACGATTATATTCTACTTCCAAAAAAATGTAAATTTTAAAATAGTAACTTTCTCCTCGAATGTGATATTTTTAAATACAAGTTTAAAGTCCATTTTAAAATATGAGTTTTCAAATAGACACAAGAGAATTTAATTATTTTCAACCATTTAGAAGAACTTTCCAAAGTCCATAAATGCTAACAACCCCAAACCTCTTTCTTTATTGAAATAAATGAATATACATGGAGGTAGACTCTCAAGAAAGACATATTGATGATAGGATATATATTTTATATCCTTTCAATCACATAACTGATTCTTAATTTTGACCATCTTGAACAATAGAAAAATAATATAGCTCCAGGTCTTTGTCAAGTAATTATTCAAACAATTGTCTGATAGATACAACTATAGCTCCCCCCTCTACTCCCCACCAAAAAAGGTTTAGAACAATTCAAGTTGTTGCCAATTCAAACTGTTGCCAACTCAGGAGGTCTATAAGGAGGTTTTAGTATGCTAGTATTATGTTTTCCCATGCAACCTGAGATGGCTGTTATTGTAAGATAAAATTATAAAAACAGGTCAAGTTTCTAAGGCGCATCTATCTAACTCTGAAGACTGTTAAGCTTTCTTCCCATATGTCTAATAGTGAAATCAATATAATTGAAAATAACTTTAAATTTGTTAAAGAAAAAGATTAAACAATGTTAACAATGTCGATTATAAGATTAAAACTACCTATGGCCAGTCTTGGCATAGAGAGCCATTCAAAAAAAAAAAAGAAGTAAAATTAGAATCCTCATCTCCCTCATATAAGAAACACTGAAAACTACCTAAAATATTTATTTAAAATTTTGTAGAAACATTTTTTAAGTATTCAAAAGGGGAATAGGATCATGTGGCACACAGTAAACCAGCCTAAGGTCCCCTCCTCTCATCTGTCTTCCCAAAGGCCCATTTGTCACTATAGTTGCCCCTTCCCTAAATGTCCTTCCTCCCCTGGACATGCTCTCCTCTAAAAGGTCACCCTGTGCTGACCCTCCTCTGTCTCTGTGTCATCACTTTCCCTTTCACCTCTTCTTCTCACCTCCAAAATCTATGCCATTCAGCAAATATTTATTGAGCCAGGCATGGTTCTTGTTGCTGGAGATGCAACATCCAAAAAAGTCTCTGCCCGCAAGGAGCTGTCAGACTAACAAACAAACAGTTCTAATGCAAAGTGATCTGGAAGAAGAGACAGGTAAGTGTGTCATGCTAAGGGCATAGAAGAGACACATCTCACAGTCTATTTTCTAGTTTAGCTTTGTCCAAATAGTATTTACAGGGATATTTATTATAATTAATCAAAATAAAAGATTAAAAGTACTATTAAATGTACAAATTAAAAATAGATAATATGCATAACTGAAAAAATCTTATTTTTAAATGCCACATGAAATCAATTTTTATAACATAATGAGGATTTCATTTTCTCTTGTGTTCAGAACCTATCCCATACCAGGGTATGAAATCCTTTGGAATAACAATAATAGTATACAAAAATAGTCATTACTTATCTGAAAAACATGTTAGATAAATGCAAAGTATTAACCTCATTTGTTTTCTCATAATGTTGTGCAATGAGAGTTTTTGCTTCTTGAAAAAAATCTTGCTTGGTGATCTCTAATGTAGGACCTAAAATAGAAACAGAGAACATTTTAATTTTTTTTAAGTAGTTAATGTACTTTCTCAACCAAAATGGTGGAACTATGAAATGTAAATTTGGGGGCAGTTATAAATCTTGCAGAACATATAAAAAGTGAATTTCATAAGTGGACATTGTAAGAGGATGAGAAACAAGTTAACAGAGCAATCCCCTAACATAATAATTTGTTTTTTAAAAAGAAAAATCAGCTTGTAATGGTCTGAGTAATAAAATAAGTTACTTTAAATTATTAAAGTCCACTGAAATCGAAGAAAATACACAAAATTGAAATATCCTTCAATTCTGAAAGTTCTTTTAATGTCATTATATAGAAGACACAACAATATGTTTGGGGCACAAAAGTTATTTTAAAAATTGTATTTTCTGTCTGTACTTTATGACTAGTGCATGAGGATGTATATTTCTTCAAAAATATTTACAACTTGTAGATAAAATTATAACTGCAAAATAAAATGCTTCAATATATTTACTAAATAGAAATAACATTAAAATAAAAAATATACACACCTACTGATGGGTAACATTATAATGATAACTTCTATCTCATTTCTAATTTTCTATGTTTTTTCATTTCTTTTAACCAAGGCTATATATAGAATTCTAGATCATGTAGACTACACCATTCTCATTTAGTCTTGTCTAAGATTTCCTCCTTATATATTACCTTTATTATTAGCTGATCCTTAGTGCATAACTGTTTCTTGGCCTCCTCTTCTTAACCTGGACTCAGCAAAATTTAAATATATTACATATTCAAATCAGTGTTTCAGTCTAGCTGGTGGGTTCCCTGTTTCTATAACTCTAACTCCTTTAGTACTCTTAGAATCAAGGCTTTCTCTCTCTTTTCTTCACCCACTCAAATTTTAAACTATTAAAAACTCCATGCAAATCAAAGCAATAATGAGATACCACCACACTCACCATAATGGCTAAAATTAAAAAAACTGATAATATCAAATGTTGGTGAGACTATGGAGCTACTGGAATGCTCAAGTATTGCTGATAGATAATTAATTTGTAAAAAGTATGGCAATTTATTTTTTTCTATGTTTTTATTTTTAAAAAATTTTTATTTGTAATTATTATGAGTACATAATAGTTGTATTTTCATAGGGTACACGTGATGTTTTGAAGAATGAAAAATTCTTATAAAATTAAATATATACCTATTTTGCAACCCAGCAATTCCATTCCTAGGTATTTATCAGAGAGAATTAAAACATATGTTTATAAAAAACTTGTACAATAATGTTTATAGTAGCTTTATTCATAATAGTGCCAAATTGGAAACAGCCCAGATATGTATCACCAAGGGAATGGACAAACTGTGGTCTCCTTATACAATTAAATACTACTTAGCAAGAAAAAAGAACCATGAGGAACGGCGGTGAGCATTGTGGAGGGGAGGGGCATACCTCTAACCCTTGGTAGGGAGAGGCAAAGATATAAAATGTAACCAAAAAAAGAAAAAAGAATCAAACTACTGACACGTACTATACCTTGGATAAATCTCAAAAACGTTATGCCAAGTTAAAGCAGCCTTATACGAAAAAGCACATACTGTGTGGTTTCACATATATGGGGTTCTAGAGCAAACATTACTAATCTATAGTAGAAAAAAACAAACAGAATAGTGATTCTTCTGTCAGGGATGTCATGGATTGAGATGAGACATGAAAGAAATTTCTGGGGTGATAGTAATGTTACATATCTTGATAGGAATTTAGATTACACAGGCATTTGTAATTATTATAATTCAATGAATGTGCACCTAAGATTTCTACATTTTATTATATATGTATTTTACATCAAAAAAGAAAGACTATAAACAAATATTGAATTCTAACTAATGATATGCATGTTGGTTGAAGGATGGATATGTGACAAATCAAGCACAGTAAAATATTAATGGTAAGAACTAGGTGATGGGTGTACATGTGTTGATTTTAAATTCTTTGAAGTTTGTTTTATGTTTGAAAATTTCATAATAAAGTATTGAGGGCAAAACTCTCTCTTCATTCCTCCACAAAATATCTCCTTGCTTTTCACCAGGTAAATTCATAGGGGAAGCCAATTCATATAAATTTCCCAATTCAAAGCCATAGGAGACACTATCCTCACATGAAAGAGACAAGAGTTCCTAAATTAGAACTGTCTATTTCATCAAATTTCAAGTATAATCTAATTCTGCTTTGAGGCAGCCTCTAGCTAGAGCGTTTACTTCCTGGAGGAAAGGCAGCCAGCTTTTCCCAGGTGTGACTCTCCACAACTTGCCCTCTTTTTCCACTTCTCATGACAATTCTTTCTCCTTTAATTCCCTTACTCTAACTAGTCAAATCTCCCTTGCAATTACTTTAGTTACAATTACTTATAATTACAATACTGTTGTGTGTCATGCATATGACAAGCAATAAATTATAATAATTAAAATATGATATGGTTAAGTCACTGGTTTTGTTGAAAATGTAGATTTGTAAAAACGATCACATCTTCATTTCAGGTAAAGCCTTAGAGATGACCCAGTCTTCATTTACAGGTAAAGCTCTGAGACGCAGAGGGCCTGAGTGCCTTCTGAAGTTACACGGCTGTGCTGTGGCTACACACAGGCACTGCTCTCCTGAGTTGCTTACTGCTTTTTCTACACATCTGCTGCTTTTCCTCATGCCATCTACTCCCTATGAGCACTGGAGACTCCTCTGAGATTTGGCTGGTGACCCTGGTGAAATACTCACATTTTACTGACACTTGCATTTTGAGCCAGCACTTTTGCACCCTTGTTTTCATTTAATGTGCTGATGCAGCTGTTCTCATCTTTCCCTTTGTAACTAAAAATTAGCCTTTGACAAAGAAGTTAAATTCCCAAGGTGGCATTTTCTTCCTAGCTGGGCTTTTTGTTGATCAGCATGCCTGATTTCCCCTGCCCACAAATGCCACCTGTCACCTGTGAACAGTGGAGAAGCTAATGTGCACTATGTCAACCCTAATGACCTTCTTGGGGCCAGCAAGCAGATTCTGACTCATAGAGGTACTGCCATGGCACACCCATACAGTCAGACCATGAGATTCTTGAACAGAACAAGGCCTGAGGTTGTTCATAAAGGAGCAGATAAAGGCAGCCATGGCCAAAATGCAGCAATTTCACACAGATCCTAAATTGGCTCCAACGAAGACATGGGGACACACTGACTTTAAATTGGCAGTTCTGAGCCATTATTGTCCTTTAAGGTGCTGAGGCAACTATTCTGATTTTCTCCCATAACTAAAAATTAGCCTTTGAACAAAAGAGTTTAATTATCAAGGTAGCACAAAATAACTCATACCTCAATGCTTTAGAAAAGGGGATCTAGAGTCGTTTATTTTTATAATTTCCAAGAATATGTATTTATTCAACAAATGAGTCTAAAAATTACAAGAACTTAAACAACTCTGATATTAAGGATGTATCCAGTTAATATCCTTTGAGGCTTCTGTGTCTTTGTTCATAACAGGGTATGAATATAAGCATGGAGCTTGTACACATTCAAGTGCACACCATAACTTATTAAGAGAAAGTTGTCAGGCTCTGCCCCTTCTTTATGAAGAAACCTATATTTAAGGTCTTTCTTATTTGTAAATACATATTCATGCATATAGAATGATTTTTAAGAGCTGTCATTCCTGAGTCACACCATTTTGTGCTTGAATTCAGATTTGTTCACAAATCTTAAGCCTTTGTTTACTCACTTGTATAACAATAATACATGTAACAGAGAGTTGTTGTGAGGAATAACTTATACAATGTTACAAAGCACTTATCAAAGCTCCTGGCACAATAAGCTTTCAATAAATGTGAGCAATTATTATTGTTGGCATTATTGTATTACTATCATTGGGATAAGCTGTATTTATATCATTAATTTCATTAGTCAATCCTCATTTCTTCAACAGCACAAAGATTAACAACTTTCTAATTTAGTTTGAATGAATTGTCTTATTATAATTCTTTTTATCCAAAATTAATTAATTAATATATTCACAGATAACAAAATATTTTCATACTTGGGATTCTTTAAGTTACTAAAGCCAAAAGAAGCAATAGTAAATCATTATGAGCAGCAGTAACAAATTTTTTACAATAAAGTTCATGAAAAGGCCGAAATGTTCATATAAAATTTATCTAATATATGGGTATAAATATCCACATTTCCATGAGGAAAGTAAATGTGAGTACCTCTAATCCCAAAGGTTTTCACTGGTCTAAAATATTTTCTTACATTTATCTGTTTTTTAAAAAGCCCTCACTCTTCCTATACTATCAGTTTAATGCTACTGATGATGGTTCATAAAACCAGATTTCTCTTACTGCTTTAGAGGTTTTGGATAGTTTCTCCAGTAATCCTCTGAAGTGAAGAAACAAAAAGAAAATCTAGTTACAGAAACTATGACAGGGAATGAGCCATCTCTTGATTATAATCATTGAGCAAGTCTTTTCTGTATCCAAAATGACCCAGGGGCTTATAAACGTGTTTTCATAACTATAACAAAAATAAGTGGCTGTACTCAGAGGGTTTCCATCCTTCCCATTAAAAGGCAACATTTTTCAGAGAGGCTTCACAAAAATTTACTCAGAAGATTCTCCTGAGCAAAGATGTATGGCCAGATGGCAAAGGCCCTCCTTACAAATATCATCAGAGTGAACACCTGACAGGTGTTACAAAAGCCCCACTATGGGCACACAATGGGCACCAGTTCAGCACACATTAAGTACCTACTAAGTGCTAGATGTTATTTTGGTACTCAATGTGCTAAAATAAATAAGACACTAGCTGTCCCTGTCTTACTGGTGCTTACGAGTCCAGTGCCAGAAAAAAATTATAAATAAATGCCATGACAATCAGTAAGGTGCACACTGTGATATAGGCCAGCATAAACCACTAACACCCCCTTACCACCAGCTCACCAATGTATGAATTTCCCTTTAAAGAGATAAAGTTTTGCATTGTATTATTCAAGCTAAGATTTAAAGCAGAAATATCCCAAGAGACATAACACAGTGAATCAAATCCAGGCTAAGGCAGTGGTTTTAAATGTGTGCTTCATTAATTACACATGCCTTGGGGGCGCTTCCTTCTTTCAATCAGAGCAGCTCAGACCTTATCTATTTTACATATCTGAGCTCTTCTTAAGTTTTATCTTGCAGGAAATAATTTCTTTGCTAAAAATAACAAACACACACCCAACAAGTAAAAAACAAATAAAGGTTTGAATATCAGTGCATCTGTGGAAAGAACCTGCTTTTAAATAATTGGAGCTTAAAAGGGTTAGAGTGCTATGAAGTGGGGAGAAGATGGAGAGGGGAAGTGGAACTCAGGTCATTAATTTTAGGGTAAAGAGTTGTGGAAGTTGGAAAGTGAATAGAAACTCTTTGAACAAAAACTGTAGATAAAATAATTTATTTGATGCAATTCCATCACATTTAAGGGAAGAAAACATAAGTTATTTCTAATTTCTTCTCAAAAAAGGAGTTAAAGAACCAAGTAAAACCCAAATTTCAAGTGGCATCTGGTTATTATCTCCTAAAACATACATTCAACAATTTTTTCCCAGAACACATTCTGCACAAAGACCCAACTCTTCAGTTCCAAATTAAAGGCATTCTGTTGAATTGTCTCTTATTGACACACTTCCTCACTTCCCCTCTCTCTTAATTCCTTGGTCCTTTTTAGCAATGTATGTTATCTTCTTTGCAACAATAAATGATTAATTGGCTTCCTACATACTTCAGAGAGATGTTACAGTGTATCCCCCCTCCAAAATCCTTCTATGTTAATACTTCTCAGACTGATGTTAAGTTGCTAAGGAGATGTAGAGAAATTCCAAGCTTATAGCATCAAGACTTCAAATATAATTTAAGTAATTATGGATATGACCTGAAGGCAAAATGAAACTAGAGAACATTCCTACTCCACTTACTGGATCTTCCTCCCTTTCTGCCCTTTCCATCTTTAAAAATATACTGTGTCATCCAAATAGAGTTGAAGTGATTTGCCACCGAGCTCTATTGGTAGCCCTGGGCAGATGCCAGCTGGCTTGTACCATATATTGTTGGGGGTCGCAAGAGCCAAAGGGAACAGTAATAAACCACAGCTCTACGTGCAGTACTATGTTTCTTGATCATGTGACCTAAGCCTAAATTTAGGATTGTTCAAATTGTTGCCAAGTCTAGATTAACTCTAAAAGAATTAGAATGTGTAGTTAATAATAATGTACTGTATTATTGTATACTTGAAATTTGCTAAAGAGTAGATCTTAAGTATTCTCAACACATCAAAAGAAAAAGATAACTATGTGAGGTAATGGGTATAATTTCACATTGTGTATGTATATCAAAACATCGTATACATTGTATACTTTAAATATAAACAATAAAGTTGGGGAAAAAGAAATATATTGTGAAATACATAATAATTTATATGTAATTTAAGATTTTCTAGTAAACATACTAAAAATATGTGAAAATGAAATTAATTTTAATATATAATTGTTGTAGAACATTTTATTTAAATAAAGTATATCCAAATATTATTACTTCAACATTAATCAATATTAAAAATCAATGAGGTATTTACTATATTTTTTTTGTTCTGTCTTCAAATTCTGCATGTTTGTTTTTGCACTTACATATACTTCAATTCAGATGTTAAATATCTTATCTGAAATACTTGATCTGTATTTAAATTTCATAAAATGTTCACTTGAAAAAGTAGATTCATATATCCAACTTGTTCCAAACATGCTTAGAAGTTTTCCAATAGCTGAATTACCAGTTTTTAAATAAAAATTAAGTTATTAAAATTAATATTCAGTTTCTTAGTTTCATTATCCACGTTTCAAGCACTGAATAGCCACATGTGATTAGTGGTTACCATATTGGACAGCACACTAAGTTAAACAGATCTCTCAAAAGTTGATTGTATTTAAATAAAGGGAATGGGATTAAATCCTTACAAGATGTGCCAGTAAGTGTAGTGCTTTGAGGATTATTAGCTGATAGAAAAGATTCATTAAAACAGTTGGAGTGTTATGCATTGTACATCAAATTGTCAGGTGAGCCTAGATACTCACATTTTGCTTCCTCAGGCATAGCCTCTGCAGTATCCATTATGCACAGTTACGATGATCTTCTTTTTTGAAGGGTGAGCTCAAGTCCTTAAACACAGTTACATTAAGCAATTCAGTGATAATGAATATTTATTTTTAGCTATTTCTTTCACTCATAAATAATAGGATGAACGATTAACACTTTTTATATGTCACTCCTCTGATTCTAAAACCTTCAATGCCTTCCCCTCCAAAAGTCAATAACAAAAGCTGGCATTGAGTAGGACTCTATAGTTTATCGAGTGCCTGTATACACATTGCCTTACTGGTTTCAAACACCCTGATAAGAACTATTGTTCCACATTTGACAGATGTGGAAACTGGAGCTCAGAGAGGTGAAATAACTTACCAAGGTAAACAGCTATTTAGTGGCATTTGCAGAACTCAACTCCAGATTTGGGGCTCAAGACCCTATGCAGGACCATTTGATTTTTTACTACTTTCTACTACTTATTTCTTACTTTCTTACTATTTTCAACTAACATCCAATACCTGGCACACAGCTTACACACTCCTGCCTTTGATTTAAGTTTATGCTAGTCTTCTACTCAGAATGCCCTAACTTCTTACCTGTACTTATTTATATCCTACCCTCCCTTAAACCCTAGGTTAAATCCCACCTCTTTCATGGCTACCCAGCCTTTAGTGATATGTTCTTCCCTTAAATACAGTAGTTGTGTTTTCCATGCCTCTCCCTTAAAACATATGCTGTTGGTATAAGGAGCTAAAAAGAAATAGTGATAGATAGTATCTCTCTCTGTCTCTTGTCTCTCTCTATATATATGTGTGTGTGTGTATGTGTGTGTGTGTGTATATATATATATTGCCTGTTAGTACTATATTCCCAATTAGACTCCAGATGCCTTGAAAACAGAAATATACTTTTTATATCAGTAGTCCTCAACCCTGGATGAATATCAGAATCACATGAGAGGTTTTAAAACATATATCAAAGTCTAGAGTGGGGTCTAGGCATCCACATATTTTAGTTTCCCAAAAGACTTAAACGTTCAGTTGGAGGAGTGAAACCCTGCCTTGTATCTTGGCCTTCAGGCCTTTGGAGCTTGGTTCTCAGCTCTGTGCACCACATTGTGAAAGGCTGATTAATGGGTTCCGTGAGCTGAGCTCTTCCTCCTACATTTAACATTATCATCACTTTCAAAGCACTATTCAGAATACATCAAACATTGCCTCGATAGCCAGGGTCAGCTACACCAATGCACACTACTGTGTGCACTCACACAGCTTTATAATTAGAAAACAGGAATATTAAATGCTTTGTGGAGCTCCACAGAGCCTCTTGTTCTAAAACTCTGTGTATAATTGTTCAATTGTCTGACTCAATCAACAAACTATGAGTGAAGTATTCAAGACCTGTTAAATAATTTGGGAATGATTTGACTAAATTTGTAAGCCAGCTTTGCCCTATGAAAGTCATGACTCTATGGCCTCATGCTCTTAAATAAAAGACTACAACATTTTTCTTTAACTTCTACCCAGAGGGAGAACAAACTATTGCAGTTACAGTTTTAAAATAACAAATCTGGAACATCCAAAAATGATTAATTCTCAAATTGTCAGCATTATACCATGGGCAAGAGCACACAGAACATGTGTCTTGTCTTCCTAGTTCTGCAAATGAACCAGGATAAATTAAAATACTGTACCTCCCTCAGCAATTAAAAATCAGAACTCATCTCTGGTCTGATTTAATTACTGTCTTCCTTATATTTAAGTATAAGAAGAAAATAAAAGTGTTTTGTGTTCAGTAATTTTCTCATTTTAATCTCCATAGAAATGGACTCTTCTCTGGGGCTGTTGGCTCCTCCACCTTAATTCAGTGTGCCAGGAGTGTCAGCCTGCATTAAATTGGCTGGCAAGCAAGACATCCCACTGTCCTTTTAATGCAGAAAACTAGCCAAGCATCCTAAGAGGTGCTGGCATGGTTATGCCCCCGCAAACCTGAGGTGATGAAGGATGACTCTGAGACAGGAGCTGGAGGTAGAGGAAGGCTGTGAAGGACAGAATTGCTCAGAGATGGGCACAGTGACACAGACTATCAGCAAATAGGGTCCCTCTCCACTTTAAGTCCCCAGCAGACAGTTATGAGATGCTGAGTCCCTCCTGATGCACTCATCAATTAATAAATGCAGAGCCTGATTTATATAATAGGCTTGTCTTCTATTTTGGAAGAAAAGTCAAAGCATAGGTCAAATTTTAAATAAAGATGCAAGCAACTGTATGCCAGATGTCAAAAGAGAGTATGAGCTTTGTGAAATAAGTGGTATCACCCATGAGCAACATGAGTTCAGATGAAGATGACATCACTGAGGGCTGAGAAAGTGATATAGAAGAGGGTTCAAGAAGAACTGAGCTACACCTGAAAGGAAGGACACAGTGTGAATCGTGAGTTTCAGCACAGGGATCAACCAATCAGAACTGGATGCTGGCCAACACACCCCTATGGTAGTACATATCAGTCTGAGTGGGCCAGATTGGCTAACTTAAGAGGAACAGAGAAGGCAGGCAGGTGAGAGAAACAGCACAAGCAAAGGCATGGAGGTGAGAATGAGATGAGAGAAACAGCACAAGCAAAGGCATGGAGGTGAGAATGCACAGGTGTGGGGGACATGCAGTAGTGTGTCTGTTTGATTTGAGCAAAGGGTTAGATTTTATACTGCTGAAATGGTCAATGAACCATTAAAAGTTTCTGGACAGGGCACTGACATAACCAGTGGTCTGGAATGCAACTTCCATAAAGGCAAGAATTTTGTTTTCCTCCCTGCTATATTCCCAGTGCCTTGAACAGGCCCTGCCATATAGAAGGAGCTCAAAGAACATTTGTAGAATGAGTAATTATGGCAACAGCATGCTGGACAGGGATGCCCTACCTTCTCTTGTCTCCTTTGGCACATTTGTGAAAAGTCCTTTCACCCTTTCTCTTTTAGTAGATGCAACTTAAGTCTCTCCTAAATTGGATTACAGGAATACTAAGGATTTCTAATTTCATTTCTACATAGATAAAAAGCCAACAGAAGTAGAAACTATTTCCCTACCTTATTTCCTTAGCTTCACCTTTCTAAAGTAGATGACTGATAAGACTTTATCAGATACCAGTCAGGAAATCAGTAGAAAAAAGGAAAGGAAAAAACAAACTTCATCACAGTACACTTTATAATTAAGTATCCTGGTAGCAAAGAAGTGACCTATGGTATTTATGGTATTCAGCAGGATGCAGGGAAACAGGCCATGCACCAGGGATTGGGACAGGCAGTTTCAGCAGTTGACATAAAGGTAAATGAGAGCAAATGTTCATTTTCTAACCCAAACTTTCTCCCTATTATCCCTGCACTCTAACCTTCCTAACCTTCAATCACACTTTCACCCTTCCTCATTTCTCTTAGAAATTATACCTATATCTACCTATCTGCCCAAGCCACAAATCTTTGATTTCTCCTATATTTTTGCCTACCACATTCAATACATCAAGTCTTCTAGATTTTAACTTAAAAATACATCTCTTTCTCCCCACCTTCCCTCTTCTCTCACCTTCATTCCAGGACTGCTCTGCTGAAACAGCCACCTAAATGCTCTCTCAATTTCTACTCCTTCCCTATTCCAAATTATTCTCCACGCAGCATGAATCGTCTTCTTAACTGTGTATCAGATTGTGTTACATCCCTTCAATGGCTTCTGAATGCACAGAGAATAAAACCTAGCCTCTTTCCCTGAGCTCTTCTCTCTCACGCAACTGAGTAAATACAGATGAAAAGCCTAGGACTGGCATTCCATGGCTCCACCCAGAAATGAGTCAAGGCACTTGGTCTGACTTCTATTCTATTTAGTTTTCTCATTTACAAAATGAAATTATTTGGCAGGAAGACCTCTAAGGCCCCATCAGTTTCTAAAACTCTATTATTCCACTGCTTTTGTATGCTGTGCTAAAAAAATAGTTGCCCCCCAAATCCAAGAAATTAATTTTGTGGTTAAGAATTCCTGTCTCTCTCCTGTTCCTCTCTGCCTTCTTCTGTTCTCTGTAATGCTAGAGCAAAATATCAAGAAAAGTAGTCTAGACCAGGCCTCTTCCGGCCATGTCCCTAATTACAACCTTATCACGTGGCTCTCAAGCCTAGGCCACTAGGACCCCACTCCCAGGTTTTGTCCTAGTCACCATTTCCATTCTCTGATAAGTATAAGCCTCCCTTCACTTTTTCTCTTCCAAGTCAACAAAGACCTTTAGGTCATTTTCAGGATCTACTATCTCACTGACTTTTCTCTGCCAAGTCTCCTGGTCCCTCTGACTCCACTAGACCATCAGATCTGCCAGCACCAAACAATAAGAATAAGAAAAAAGAAAAGAGAGCAGGTACAAAAAACAAACAGGAAGACAAGGGCCAAAATAACAAGGCCAATATTAGGCATCTAAAATGTGTAAATGTATACAATCGTCCCTCAGTATCTGTGGGGGATTGGTTAAAGGAATCCCTATGAATGCCAAAATCCACAGATGCTCAAATTCCTGTTATAAAATGCTGTGGTATCTGCATATAACCTATACTCCCATATACCTTAAATCATCTCTAGATTACTTTTAATACCTAATGCCATGTAAAGGCTATGTAAATAGTTGTTATACTGTTTGGGGAATAATGACAAGAAAAACATCAGTACACATTCAGTACAGACACAATGATCCATTTTTTTTAAAATATTTTCGATCCGTTTGATTGAATCCATAGATGAGGAACCCACAGATACAGAGAGCTGACTGTACTAGATGATAGTAGAATAAGAGAATTATAACTGCATAATTAAAATTATGAACCAAATTAGTCATAGGGCCATAAAATGAGTTAGAAAGAAGATACTTTATGAATTTATGATTAATATCAGGTAAGCTGGGATCCCAGGGGCCACATGCAACGTGGAATAACATTCCTTTCCTGATATAGAAACCTTCCCCTAATTTTCTAATTAACTCAGGTTAATATATTACCCAGAGCCAAGAAGTGGGAAGGAAAAGAATACAAATGAATCAATGGGATGTC